GTAATGCGTTATGTTACTTTTGCGTTACTTTTTAAATCTGGACAGGGCTTGCTTGTTTGTTTTTAAAATAAAAAAGTTCTATTTTTGGCAAATATAAAAGCCTTTTCACACCAAAAGTTAAATGAATAAGCCTCAGGCTGAAGGGAAAGTAAATTTACGTCCGTACAGTAGAATGCAGAAGAAGAAATTTCAACACACTTCAGCAATAAACAAAGATGTTTGTCTAGAGTAATTTTTGCTTATTAGTATGGTTGAACTGGATCATCGAAGGTCAGAAGCAAAGACATTGGTTAATAGAATGGGATTAAATGCATAAAGGATATTTGTGTTTTTTAACATTTAATTATTGCAGGTTTGTGTCATATTCAGAGTTGCATTATTTTTATTCATTTTGAGGAATACTGAATCTGTGTTTTTTTTTGTGAGTGAGATTAATTAATGCATATTCATATTTATTTTGAACTACAGTAACATCTTCTGATTTCTCTCAACATGGGGACAGGAGAGCTGTCAGTCAATAAATTGAAAAAAAAGTAACTTTTTCATGTACTTATTTGAAAAAGTAACTCGGATATTCTCTTGTAAATTAAAAAGTAATGCGTTACTTTACTAGTTACTTGAAAAAAGTAATCCGATTACGTAACTCGCGTTACCCCAACACTGTTTAAAACATTTAAAAATTGTAAAGATTCCAAACTTTTGACATGTACAGTATGTATAGACTCTGCGGTCTTGCTGAGAAGGTTTCTCTTGACAGGTTTATTTACCTGCCAAAGTGTGTCGAACTTCTTCCCGTCAGGAATGGAGAGTTTGCCAGCCTTGTCTTTATCAATGCGATAGTGCATGACTTGGTTATTATGCCGGAGACACAGAGCATAGGACACGTTTCTGCCATTGTTTTCTCTTTGTCTAATTCTGTCAGGAGGAGAGAGAACGATACAGTAAATGTTAAGCAGAAGATAGAGAATAATTCACAGTCCTTTACAAAGGCTCTTGCAAACTGAGCTCTGGTTATATTATACACAAATCAACACTAGATGGAGCTGGAGGAGAAAAACCGACGCTTTTCCGATTTACCGACAAGATTCAATGTACAGTGGATGTAGTTGTAGACTAATGTTTAATCAATGTTTTAATATAGAAAATCGAAAAAATATAGAATATAATATAACATAGATATATTTTTGAAAAGCTTTAGTAAAAAAAAAAGTAAGTTCAAGCTAATGACATGATTCTCATGATGATAAAGCCATATTTGTCTTATAAACAAACTTTCTTCTTTTTCCATAGTTTTGTGCGCTTCATTGCATACGTGTGTTTTGAGATGGTGGCAAGTGTTCTATTTAAAGCAAGCGCACACTGTACTGACACGCACTACCCCCACCCAGCACACTGCGTCTTCGGTCACTTCAGGAAGTCCTCTCAAACAGTGTGACAGCGGAAACCACACGCTGCCTCTCTCTGCCTCGCTTCTTTCACTTCAGAGCAGTCCCAAACCCTGCCTGCAACCCACTGCTGAATCGAACCCGCACCTTGTGTAGGCTTTCAGAAGTTGGTTCTTCGCAATAGTTTTGGGATTCAAATTTTAAGATGATTGATGAACTTAAAATGAATATAAATATATATTAGGTTATATAAAATCTTAATCTAGACGCTAAAAATGATTAGAGTGCATGCACACAAGTATGTTAGAATTTAACCACAACTCTAAATGACTAACATTCGTGTAATTAAAGCAAGATGTTAAAAAAACAACAACAACAACATATTGCTTTACTTTGGTGACCTTAGAAATTTCAATTAAATGCTGATGCAATATAATATTATTTAAGTAAGACTCTTCTGCTCACCAAGGCTGAATTTATTTGTTTAAAAATACAGTAAAAGCAGCAAAACTGTGAAATATTATTACAATTTCAAACAACTGTTTTCTATGTGAATATATGTTAAAATGTGATTTATTCCTGTGATGCGCAGCTGAATTTCCAGCATCATTACTCCAGTCTTCAGTGTCACATGATTCTTCAGAAATCATTCTAATACGCTGATTTGATGCTTGAGGAACACTTATTGGAAACAGTTGTGCTGCTTCATATTTTTCTGGAAACTGAGATACGTTTTGTGCAAGATTCTTTGATTTTGAAAGTTCAATTATTTGAAATCTTGGTTACACTTTATTTTAAGGTGTCTTTGTTTCAGTGTGATTATACATTTAAGTACTGAGTGATATTAATTAACATGTACTTACTGTATGCTTAGGGTTACTTGAATGTAATTATGCATAATTAATTGTTATTATAATAGTAAGTACATGTAACATGTGTAACAAGACACCTTAGAATAAAGTGCTACCAAAGTCTTTTGTAACAATCTAAAAGTTTTTACTGTCAGTTTTGATCAACCGAATGCCTCCTTTCTGAATAAAAGTGTAATTTCTTAAAATAATAAATACAAATCCTACTGACCCTAAACTTTTGAATGGAAGTATAAATCTAGATTATATACTGTAGCTAATAAGGTATGTATTCTGGGTTCACACTTTAAAAAATAAAGGTGCTTAGAAGGTTCTTCACAGCGATGCCATAGAAGAACCATTTTTGGTTCCAAAAAGAACCGTTCAGTCAAGAACCGTCTCTTTCTTACCTTTTTATAATCTGAAGAACCTTCTTTTGCCACAACGAAACAGAAAGCTTCTTCAGATGTTTAAGGTTCTTTTTGGAACCATTTATACAAAAAAGGTTCTTCTATGGCATCTTGAAGCACTTTTATTTTTACGAGTGTAATTCTCAACACCCAAGATCATGTCTCATTTATCTTGTACTTGCAGAGTAAGTCCAACAAGGGCATGAGACTCACAGGAATTTGCCGTTGACGTGTGAGCTCCTGAGCAGCCGCTGCTCTGAGTCCTCGCGGTCGATCTTGCCATGGAACCACGGCATCTTCTCATGAGCCGTTGTGGAGATGAGTTTCTCCAGCTGAGGCCTCTGGCTGATGATAGCCTGCTCCAGAGCCGAACCCTGCCACACCACAATATATAATAATACATCAGGAATAGCTAATAAACTGCTCCTGTCTTATACCAAAAATGTGCTTTTATGGTTTGTTTAATGCAGCACAGGGGTGGCATAAACGTATTCACAATTGCAGCAAATGTTCAAAAGTTGACTGCAACAAAAACAAAATGTGTGAAGGTTGCTGTGACGAGTGAAACATGAAATATGCACAACTTCTTTTATTCTCGTAATCTCACATAACTTCTGACTATTCAACAAGAAAAAAGTAAGCTGGGACTTTATCTATTAGGAACTGGGTGAAAATAGATGTAAAAATGTGTATTATTTATATAAGATGTTCACTAATTTCATTAAATTTCAGTAAAATTTTCAGACTGAAATAGTATTTTCTCATAAAATATACTCTGTAAATAGTCAATTTTTACAGTGTACCCATGAGCAAGGTGATTGGAGGGGATTTGCTGGAAAAGTAAGGATGATTTGAAACGTAAGCCAAAAAAGAAAGTTGTTTCATGCACAAGAAGACAAAGAAACATATAGTAAATACATGAGCTCAATGCTCTATTTAAGCAATTGTCTCTGAGCATAACTGAAGTCTCAAATACCAAACTCATGAGAAAGCATAACTATTTAACGTTTCGGCGCATTTGTACAATTCATAAAAAAAGTATTCAGAAATAAAGTAAGCATGAAGGTCAGCCTGAACCTAACCATCGGTGGAGCACAAGCAGATTGTATTGTATGAAAATATACAAAAGACATTGTACAAACTCATACAAGTTCACCAAAAAAGTTAGAGTACAGTATGACTCGCCATGCAAGTGTGTTGCAAACCCTAAAAGCTTTCTGAGTTATGAAAGAGCAACTTCTGAGAAATTAAGGTTACACTTTGTTTTAAGCTGTCCTTGTTACGGTGTAATTATACATTTAAGTACTGAGTAATATTAATTAACTACATATATTTTCTACTCTAATGAGAGTTAGTAGATATGTAGGTGCAATATTACTTATAGTCAACAAAATATGTAAATAAAGTGAAACCATATAACATGCGTTGCCTTTAAATAAAGTGTCAACTTCTGAGAAATGAAGGTTACACTTTGTTTTAAGCTGTCCTTGTTACAGTGTAATTATACATTTAAGTACTGAGTAATATTAATTAACTACATATATTTTCTACTCTAATGAGAGTTAGTAGATATGTAGGTGCAATATTACTTATAGTCAACAAAATATGTAAATAAAGTGAAACCATATAACATGTGTTGCCTTTAAATAAAGTGTTACCGAAATTAAATAAAGGATTACACTTTATTTCGATAGTCCACTTTAGACTATAAGTAACTTTGCCAGTGCATGTCAACTAGCAGTCATTTACAGTAGACTGCTGGGTTATGGTTAGGATTAGTAGGCTAAGCTGACATGTACTCAAAAAGTTACTTATACACTCTTAAAAATAAAGGTGCTTCACGATGCCATAGAAGAACCTTTCTGTCTAAATGGTTCCATAAAGAACCTTTAACCCATCGGTGGAGCACAAGCAGATTGTATTGTATGAAAATATACAAAAGACATTGTACAAACTCATACAAGTTCACCAAAAAAGTTAGAGTACAGTATGACTCGCCATGCAAGTGTGTTGCAAACCCTAAAAGCTTTCTGAGCAACTTCTGAGAAATGAAGGTTACACTTTGTTTTAAGCTGTCCTTGTTACAGTGTAATTATACATTTAAGTACTGAGTAATATTAATTAACTACATATATTTTCTACTCTAATGAGAGTTAGTAGATATGTAGGTGCAATATTACTTATAGTCAACAAAATATGTAAATAAAGTGAAACCATATAACATGTGTTGCCTTTAAATAAAGTGTTACCGAAATTAAATAAAGGATTACACTTTATTTCGATAGTCCACTTTAGACTATAAGTAACTTTGCCAGTGCATGTCAACTAGCAGTCATTTACAGTAGACTGCTGGGTTATGGTTAGGATTAGTAGGCTAAGCTGACATGTACTCAAAAAGTTACTTATACACTCTTAAAAATAAAGGTGCTTCACGATGCCATAGAAGAACCTTTCTGTCTAAATGGTTCCATAAAGAACCTTTAACTAACATCTGAAGAAGCTTTCTGTTTCGTTGTGGTGAAAGAAGGTTCTTCAGATTATAAAAAGGTAAGAAAGAGATGGTTCTTGACTGAATGGTTCTTCTATGGCATCGCTGTGAAGAACCTTCTAAGCACCTTTATTTTTAAGAGTGTAGTCCAGACTATTGAAATAAAGTGTTACCGGATGAAGTGTTAAGCTGGCACCCACCTGTAGGTTCCAGGTTTGTTTGACGTACTGCCGAATGAGCTGCTCCTTGAGGTCCTCAAAGGGCCCGACTTTAGGCTCGGTGCCCCGGGGCCGGTTGAAGGGCCTCTTCAGCAGGCAGATGAGCCCGTCGGACTCCTGCGAGTGGTAGTCGATCACATCTATGGGGTTTCTGTGAGATTTCCCACCGGCGATGGCGTAGGTGTCGTTCATCTCCCTCTCGATGGTGTAGTGGTAGAGCTGGCGACCGTAGGCCACCGACAGAGCGAACCCGCCGAGGAAGCTGCGGCTCTGGCGCAGCAGGTACAGGCCGTCCCCCGCTCCTCCCTGCCGCAGGTACTCCTCCGCCTCCTCTCGCGTGATGTTGCCGAAAAAGTACGGCAGCGCCTGCACCTTGTCCGCCATATCTGCTCAACCGTCTGCCAAAGCTCAGAGGACCGCTAATAACCTGAAAAAGACAATGGGCCTCAGTTATAAAATGTTGCGCAGAAACCTTACAATCTTACGATCATCTCTCAAATGTGACCCTGGGGCACAAAACCAGTCATAATATTTGTAGCAACAATACATTGAATATGGGGCAAAATTATCGATTTTTCTGTACTTATAGTCAACAAAATATGTAAATAAAGTGAAACCATATAACATGTGTTGCCTTTAAATAAAGTGTTACCGAAATTAAATAAAGGATTACACTTTATTTCGATAGTCCACTTTAGACTATAAGTAACTTTGCCAGTGCATGTCAACTAGCAGTCATTTACAGTAGACTGCTGGGTTATGGTTAGGATTAGTAGGCTAAGCTGACATGTACTCAAAAAGTTACTTATACACTCTTAAAAATAAAGGTGCTTCACGATGCCATAGAAGAACCTTTCTGTCTAAATGGTTCCATAAAGAACCTTTAAC